CCCGCTTCTGGTTTCCATCTCAGTCAACAGGGACGGCATCTGCAGATCTGTCTCTTGATTTAGTCCATTTTTTTCTCTTCAATTATGCCCAGTCATATTAGATTTCTAATTTAGTGCCACTTTAAAACTTTGATCGTCTTTAAACTCTGCCATTTTCATAATTAGTTGTTCTTGTCTTATAGTTTTTATTCCTTTATTTTGTTTGAACATTTCACACACTCTTATTTTAATTTCCCTTTTAGGTTGCTCTATTATCTCTACTTTCTGGGCCCTGAGTTTGTCTCTTTTATCTGCTGGCTTTCCTTGGCTAGATACCTAGGATTTTTTTCCCCCCTTGAGCTCCTCTTTAGCAGGAAATGTTTTCCATGAGAACCCCCAGTACTCTGGTTGGGGGAGGCATCCCAGAGGGACAAGGTCATGTTTGGTTTTGCTGGAAGCTGGAGATTCTGTTAGGTCCAGACGGACTTTAATGCTAGCTTCTCAGCTCAGGTTTCCCACACCACGCATACCACACTGCTGACTTGGGACCCTCATCTCCCACTGGAGCTTGGGGCACGTGGCCCTCCTCTGTGTCCTGGCTGGGGCTGGGGATGAGGATTTTTGTCCTGTTTCATGGGGAGCATTGCCCTCAGCAGCTCTGACATAAAAGGAAGCAGATCCAGCTCTCTGCGTGCCTGAGAGCTGAGACTTCACCTCTCAACTCATCTGGTCAAGTTTCTTCTTCTTCTTCCTCCTCCTCTTCTTCTTACATTTCTGGCAACTAGAAAATGGCTTTTCTTATTTTTTAGCTGGAATTTGTGAAGCACTGAGGCTTCAGTGGAGATGGGTGGGCATTAACTTCGGAGGGCACCAGCCTGGCAGAGCTGTATGTTTTCCCCCAGTGGCGTTCAGTAGCCCAGGACAGGCACAAGAAAGGCAAACAATTGGTTTCATCCAGTTGACTCAGAGGTGTTACCCTGAGCGTGTGACACAAAGAAATGGGGCCAGGGAAGAGCAGCATATTGGAGTGAGATTGACCTAGGGGCTGGGCCCTGGGGCCTGTGATGGAAAGAAAATGGGAATGACTATGGGTGGGAGGTCCTGATGGGGTTAAAAAACAATGGGGTGGGAGTATTAAGTCAATAAACTGGATGTGTACGCGGTGTTGGCGAGAGGCAGGTGTCTTAATTGTGCGGTCAGTGGATCACAATGTTCAGGGTGCGGTCAGGGGTAGGCAGGTGGCTTGCAGTGCAGGGAGGTGGAGGCTGAGAGGTCAAAGATAAGAGGTCATGACATTGGAAGGGACATCCCACGGAGGTCAAGGTTCGCTGGGATAACAGCAGGCGTTGGGCTGCCTGGCTGTGTCAGCCGAGTATGAGGTCTATAGCCAAAGGGAAAGAGAGGGATGGCTGGGGTAGAGGGCAGAGAGTGGCACAGCAGAGTGGCAGGGCTCTTCCCTGAGTCCTTGACAGTGAGCAGGACCCATGCACTGGGGCCCACTGGGCTCCGGCACAGGGGCTGGAGCAGGCCACTGGCAGAGACCTAACCGCCCCAGCTGGGAGTCTGCTCTTAGAACAGGAGGCCATGTGGGAGGCCTGTGGGCTGGAAAAGTGCATGCTGAGGGTTTAGGGCACTGCAGGGTCCCCCCCCCCCCCCCCCTGCCAAGTACTCTCCCATTTCTCCAGGTTTTAAAGAAATATCAGCAGTCTCCAGAAAAGGGAAAAACAGTGTCACCATTGACGGTGTGACAGAAAGTGACACCTAATGGACATGCAATTAACTAAGTGGTGACACAGAAGTCTCCGTATTTGTTCTACGGCTCTCTAACACTGACGGTTTAATGGGACTAGTAAACAAATGTAAGCTCTGAGCGCCATCTCCTGGAACAATCTACCACATCACACTGACCTCCCGTTATCCTCATGCCCATCCTCAATGAGGCGGCTGAGCTCCTAATGCCCGAGGCTACAAGGCAGGAAGGCCCCTGGGGAGGGGTCACTGCAGGAAATGCACATCACCTCCTGTGCCTTCTGTCCCCTGAGCCCCCAGGGGACTTGCGCTGATTGAGCCCCAGCCCATCTTGGAGGGTGTTCCCGGCCCCGGCCCACCGAAGGCAGGGCCCCTGCCCCTAACCTTCTTCTCCTTTATGGCCTCCTGTCTGTGTGGCCAGCACCTCTCACCACCAACCATTTGCTCCCTGAGCCAGAGTTTGCTTCCCAGGGATGTCCACCGCCCATGGGTAGCGGGAAAGAAAAAAATGTTCAGGATTTCTAGTTACAAGAAATTGCATTTTTGGATTTGAGAATCCCAGGTGACTTTTGGGCTCGCAGGCTGCAACACTGGGCATTCTATATGTCGTTGGAGCCCCAGAATTTCCACAAGGGTCATGAACATGGGGCAGGGGCCCCCAGAATGTCGAGGCACCAACACACTCTTCTTCAGCTCTTCATTCGTCAAAGGAGATGATGAGTCCCCAAGGTCCCTCCCCGATCTTACTGTCTGACCTGAGTAATTGGGTCCCGACCCAGCATTGCCTCAAATTCCCAGGGAGCTGTCATGCAGGACCTGCCACGTGGGAGCCCTCACTGTGGTGTGAGTGCAGGGCACTACGCACATCATCACGCTCAATCTCCACATAGCTGTCGTCTCTACAGAGGGGAGAGTGACTTGCCTGTGGTCACCCAGCTTGTCCTTAACTACGGATCTTTTCACAGGATCCCCCATGTCCTCCAGAACCCACCACTTGAAAAGGGACTCCTGACAATATCAGTTGGTAAATGGCTGTTATGGGCTGAATTGTGTCCTTGCCAAATTAATCTGTGGATGCCCTAATCCCCTAGTACCTCGGAATGTGATTATTTGGAGATAGGGTCTTTAAAGAGATAATAAAATTAAATGAGGTCACTAGGGTGGGCTCTGTTCCAATATGACTGGTGTCCTTAAACAGGGGATGGGGACACGAACACACACAAAGTAGAGGCCTGTGAAGGCACAGGAGGAGATGGCCATTTACTGACCAAGGAGAGAGGCCTCAGCAAGAATGAGACCTGCAGACACCTTGGTCTTGGACTTCTAGCCTCCAGAATTGTAAGAAAATGAATTTCTGCTGTTTAAGCCGCAGAGTCTCTGGCACCTTGTTATGGCAGCCCGTGCAGGGTCCGCTGGATTGGAGACGCCCTGCACGTCCCGTCTGCGGCTAACTGAGCCCAGACTGCGCGCGAGGGACCAGACTTCTCTGTCTCTCCCCACTGCGCAAGCCCAGCCCCCCCTCCCCCGGCTGGCACAGGCCTGGGCTGTAGGTCAGAGGCAGTAGGCAGGCATGCGACCCTAAGAGAAGGGGCGGGTGCCGAGGGCAGGTGAGAGCAGACCCCAAGGGGCTCTTACTTGCTCACATGGCTCAGCTTCTTAGGGCATCAGGAAGACAAAGAAAGTGGGAGAAAGGATGTAGGGCAACGAGGGCGCCACTCGTTGAGGGACAGATGGATCAGGCTGCCCAGCATGTGGCAGACAACGTTGGAGGCACCTGCCCAGCCCGTGGTCACACCCTCCACCCTGCTCCCACACCCCATGCTGGGCCTCACAGCAGCCATGTGCCCACATGCACATCCTTCCCGCATCCATGCGACACTGGAGAGCAGCCAGTCAACCTGAGCAGAGGACCGGCAACGGGACACTGGGGACCTTTGGGCAGCTAAGTGCACAGGGAGGAGGAGACGGGGACGAGAGCATGGGAGGGACAGAGCCCAGAGACCACAAGGCCCAGAGGAGGCCACGTTCGCAGGAGAGCCTGAAAGAGAAGGCGTTGTTCCCACGGGCGTTCCAGGGCCTGCTCCCGCCGCGGCCTGGCTGCCTCTCTGACCACAGGTCCGGACCCACAGCTGGTGTCGTTCTCTTCTGCTGCTGTCTGGTGTGCGGTCAGGCTGTGGTCTCCTGCAGGGAGGGCCCTTCTGGCAGGATGTCTCCAACTTTTCCATGGAAATTCCTCCATTGACAGGGGACGTGAACAAGCGGAGGGCACACTCTGAAGTGGTCTCTGAAATTTTTGTGAGCTTTGTGGTTCATCTGAAAGATTCACAATTTCATGCTAGAATTCTTCATATTGAAGAGTGCAGATGTCATATCCTCCGAGGGCCCCTCCTCCTCCAGCACTGGGCCAAAGTTCTGTCCTGCAGGAGGCCCTGCATGGCTGTCGCCAAGGCATCCAGTGCCAGCCTTCTGTCCTGGTGGCGCTGGCGAGGCTGGGTCCCGGGGCCCCTCACCACCCAGCCTCCCCTCTGGCAGGTGGCAATGGCCCCAGGCCTTTGTCCTCACTCCTTCTCCACTCTACTCCCTCTCTCTGAGACACTAGGCACCGCCCCTCAGGAGCTGCTGTCTTGACACAAGGTGGAAGACAGATGGACCTCAGACCACTTGTTTCCCACTGCAAACAGGCCGTACCAAGGGCGTGGCGACCTGCTTAGAGTGTGGAATGGGAAACAGGGAGAGCAAGGGAACTGAGTGGATGTTTCTGTAGACTACTTTACCCTGGGAGCAGATCACCGAGCACAGCACAGCGAGAAGCACCAGACAGTGCTTGAGAAATAAAGTTTCTTTCTGCCACCCTGCCTGCCTTGACATCCCGGGCCCGCTGCACGGACAAGGACAGGAGAGGAGTTGTTACGTGTGCACCTCCAACATGGAGGCGGGCGTGTGTGCACTGCGGCTTGCACGCTCATGAAGGAGGTCTGTGGCTGAGCCGGGTGGGGTCTGAGGGAGGCTCCTGGCTTCCAGAAGCACACGCGTCGGCCCAGGTTCGGAGGTCCACTCTGTGTCTATAGGGGCCACTTCACGTGACACCAAGAGGCACTCGGAAAATGTCTAAGGTAAGGAGTAAGCATTGCCCAGTATATTCCCCCTTGTACACCTTTCAGCTCAGGACAGATCAGATGTCAGACTTATTTTCTAAAAATGTCCTGCCCTGCCCAAAAACCTCGGGCAGGAGGCGGAGACAGGTGAACTGCAAGTCAGCTGTCAGTGGTGGGCTATGCCCCTTTCCCCTTTGAGAAGGCGAGGAGCTCCCGGCTGATGACAAGCCAGAAGATCTGCTGAGCTAGAACCTGGGACGACAGGGTGGGAGTGTGGGCCCGGGAAGGGGTCTCCAAAGAGACTCGCTTTTCCTGCTGCCTCCTGATATTGTCAGCACCGGAAGAAAGGCAAGGGTCAGTGGCTGCGGGGGGGCCGGGGCAGGCCAATGTTCCTCTCAGATGTCCATGCCTACTTCCCTCCTCAGCTCAGGGATGAGGAAGGAGTGATGAGCCCTACTTCATATATATTGGCTAAAAGTAAGAAGGCTCTCAGTGTCCGTTAACGAACAGGCATGTTGGTTTCAGTCAGGACCATACCCTTCTCCACACAAGGTCATAGAGGCTCTGAGACAGGCACCACCTTCTACATGGATATAACGTCAGAGCACGGAGCTAGTTTCAGAAAAGTGTCCTTGGACCTCTCAGGCCGGGGTCATGCTTTCACCAGTTACAGACAAAATACTCCACTTCTTGAGAAGAGATGAAATCTCTCTATACACTTTCATGTTGTTTTAACTCCCTTTATGTCCAATAAAAAAATGTTTCACACACTTTTCTTGGTATCATGAGCTCTTGGCCCATTTGTGCATGACCCGTAGGCACCAGCGGCTCAGTGAAGAACCAGTGGAACTCATCCCACACTGCACAGGCATCCGTGACCTACCTGTCTGGACCCTTCCCCACGGGGCCACACAGGGGAGGGGCCACCTGCTAGCCAGGCATCTGGCGCCCCTCCTTACCACGCTCTGTGTTTACACTGCCCGTGGTTTTCACTCTTGTAACACCAGAGCGAACCAAAACATTGACTAGGGCCTCACATTCCATGAGGGACGTCATGGAGCAGTTGCTTGTTCTCTTTCAAGCACCTATATAGTTGCTCTGGAACGGGTCGTGGAACTGGGCCCCAGTGGAACTACCGAGTCCTGTGCCACAGGGTTAAGCCTCCTCTTCTACTTCCTCCATTTCGAGTTGGCTTATTTCTCTGAGACACCGTGTGCCTGGCATTTTGTGCCAGGAAAAGCTCTATTATAAACAGCTTGTGAGACTGTTGTGCTGGCGGACGTGCAAAGGGCCCACGATGGGGCAGGGGATGTTCTCTCTCACGGCTCCCATCCTGGCTGGTGGCGGGAAACAGATCTGGGGCCCAAGCCGTGACAGGATGGGGAGGTGGGGAAGGGGTTCACGAGAAAGAGCAGCTCCAGATACAAATGCTTTGGAGAGTTACACTGCAAACAATCTCCACATACGTATACACAGGCCACACCAGGAAAACCTTTTATTTTTTTTTTAAAATGATGGTCATCACTAACCAGCCACTTTAATTCATACAGATTAAAAACCCAAACCTGACATATTTTTGGCTATGTTTGTCTTACAGAAATTCCACTGAAAAGCATAATTAGGACATTCAAGGATATGAGGCTGAAGGTGGAAAGGACTTTAATTTCCTATCAGTGTGGGTTGGAGATGACTGGTTATGGTCCTGCCAACAGCTAACGGCAAATCGGGAGGGTTTACATTCTCGAGGGGAATGGAGAGGATCCTCTAAAGTTCTGGGCTTAGGGACCATTTGGGGTGTCTGGAAAGAGAAGTTGCCCTGGCAGCTTGGTGAGCTTTAGGGGTGTTTGCCTCTTTCTAGGACACATGCAAAAGGTGGGTAACCAAACTATGAAAACCAAGAATGTGGAGTGAAGGAGGGGAGAGACTCTAGTCTTTCTCTCTGCATAAAGTTAGGGAACGAGACACAGTATCATATCCATATTTCAGAGACATTTGGGACTTTTTTCAAGGAGCAGAATTTGGCCAAAACCCCAGGCGTCGCAGCCCTTGGTGACAGATGAAGAGCTGGCTGTGGGAGGTGGGAGGCATCCATGTCTGCATCCAGAAGACACCAGGGTGCTTTGTCCTGGCAGGAGCAGCATAGACTGTATGTCTCACACAGTGGAGTGATGTTCTCCAGGTAACCAACTCGCTTGCTGATCAGCGACAGATTCCACCTCCTTTGACTGTAAACCAAGACTCGATACATATGTCTAATTCAGTGCACAAAGGGCTCTTAATAATCTTGGGGTTTTGGTGCCTTAGAGGCTGGGCTATGGGGACGGGAGTGACAAAGTGGTTCCGCAGACTGCTCGGGTCGGGGGAGAGACCAGCGGCAGCATCCTGGAGGGGACCCGGGAGCACATGGGTGGAGAGTGTTGGTACTGTGAGCAGCAGCTGTTGAGGGGGAAGCATGTCTGGGTGGGTGGAAGGCAGATCTTTGGGCAGCAGGGCAACTGCCTGCAGGGGGACTTCACTAGGGTGAAGTTGAAGAACCGACCCTGTAGGGAAGAGAAGAGAGACAGTAGCTGAGGAACCACCGGAGCCGAAAGCTGTGGTTTCTCCAGCTGCTGGGCCTGCCGAACACCTTCTCTACTTAAGCCCGTGCTTTTCCTGTTGCCCAGAACCCCACTGATCGCCCTGCTGGATCTGTGGGGGCCTGCTGGTCTCCAGAAAACCCCTTCAGTCCCCAAAGGTGCTCCATGTAGTGGGCAGACTTGGGGCTTCTGTGAACCTGTCATTCATTCATTCAAAGGGTTACCTTGAGTTCCTGAGAGTCAAAATGGGAGCCGACTGCTGCTTTCTCTTACTGAGACTGTCATCATCACCACTCTAATTTTAAAAATCCTTACGAACCCCTTAGAATGACCTTGGTTTTTCCCTCCTAATGTAGCCACATTAGAAAAACAACATACCTAAAACCCCTAAGACCCCTTGGATTTCTAAGTATGTTCTTTTTTTTTTTTTAAAGATTTATTTATTTATTTATTAGAGAGAGAGAGAGAGAGAGAGCACAAGTAGGCAGAGAGGCAGGCAGAGGGAGAGGAAGAAGCAGGCTCCCTGCTGAGAAGGGAGCCTGACGCGGGGCTCCATCCCAGGACCCTGGGATCACGACCTGAGCCGAAGGCAGCCGCTTAACCAACTGAGCCACCCAGGCGCCCCTCTAAGTATGTTCTTAAGGAACCCAGGACACCTGGAGCCTGACCTTGTCCTTTTTCACACCCACAAGGATGTTGAGCCAATGAAACTTTCGGAAAATACGCACTTGGGAACCTGCACCCCTCTGTGCAGAGTGGAGCCGAGCCCAGAGATGGGCAAGGATTCCTCTCGGTGACTTTCCCTGGCGGACATACTTTGTAAACTGTCACTCTGTGGGCCACATTCTATGTAACATCACCTTAGTGTCCATCAAGTTAATATTTCATCTTTCATAGATAAGTATTTTTGCTTTCCCTGATCATAAAAGTAACACTTTCCCATTGCAGAGAACCCAGACAATACAGACAAACATGCATGAAGAAATAGAAGTTGCTTGTTTCCAACCACCCACAATGACCACTCTGAATAGAATCTTGAACTCTCTGCACATAGCAAGTTCTTTGATCATTTATTTAGCAATCCCTTTTATGATCTCTGCTCCCTAGCTGGCCATTCTCACCTCCAGACCCACAGCCCAGGCATGCGTTCTGCGGCCACCCTCCAGCTGGCTCCCCATATTATCCCTGCTCACCTTCCCTGCCTCCTTCTCCCCAGGTCTCTCCAGCCTCCAGGTCACCAGGCCCAGCCTCAGGGTCTACTTGGCCAGGGTCAGACCCTGTCCTGAGCCACCTGTGTCTCCGGTCACCTGTCCATTCTCACCTTCCTGTGCACCCATGGACCATCCAGGCCCTCAGGCTCCCTTTTAGGCCTACCCGACTATGTCTGTTCCCATGGTCACCTGGCTCTGCACACTCCTAGTCCAGGCTGCACAGGATCATCTCTGAGGAGATCCCCCCATCTCCTACTTTGACCTGTGCCTCCCACTGCCAGGTGTGCTCGCCAGCACCAGGCTCCTGGCGTGGTGCCAAGCTGCCCTGCACGGACCCAGGCAACCCTAAGCTGTGCCCTCTAAGAGTTCCTGAACCCTACGCTATACCCCCCCGCCCCGCCTCTCCTTTTCACACATCCAGACCCACCCATTCTCAAATGCCACCTTTGTCACACCACATTCCCGAGCTGAATTCCAACACTGCAGTGCGTCTCTTCTCAATACTGTGGTCAGTCTGTCTCAGGCCCATGGGGAGGGCCTTGGTCAACTGGCAGGACCCTCACCATCCCTGCCCCAGGATCACATCAAAAACTCCTAAACTATTCTTAACTGTTTTCTTTTTGTGTGCGTGCGTGTGTGTGTGTGTGTGTGTGTGTGTGTGTTTGTGTGTGAACTTAAAATCAGTTTTCCCTAAACATGTTTGTTACAATTCCTCTAAAGGAGAACTAAGCCCATGAGTTCCTCTGGGAGGAGTTGACAATGGGGTCTAGGTTTTTATGTTCTCAAATCTTCTTTTCTAGCACTGGGTAAAAGTCTGTGGTTTCATTACAGGTCAATATACTTGTGTGGTACAGGTACATGGATGTGTTGCTCTCGAGAATAGACTGGAATCTTTTATCTTTATTTCTAGTTTCTTTATTTCTGCTTATTTACTCCAGAACGCAAATAGATTATTCTAGACCGAGCAGCCGCTGTGGGAGCCCTCTGATTTGGTCAAGAGATGACTGTGGGGCACATGTGCTGAGGCCCATCCTCCCCCCAATGCCTGAGCCTGTCCCTGGGAGCTGCAGGCTGGATCTGCCATGGGTTGCTGGGAGGAGCGAGGGGTCCCATGTGGCGGGGGACCCTGGAGGGACACAGAGACCCTGAATCTGTGGTGCAAGTGTCAAGGGGTGAGTGGGGGGGTCTGGGGGCTGAGGGGCGTCTCCTTCCTCTCTGCCTTCCTACTATTTGATGATCGAAGCCAGTGACCAATCCCTTCTTCCATCATCTCCAGGCTGCCCAGTGAAGGGACTAACCTTGAATCTGCTGGCCAGTGGTGGCTTGCTAGCCCTAATCTCCAGTGCTTTGCAGTATTGGCTCCATTACTGCATTTCCTGCTGCTTCACGAGGAATGTGTGCGTGTGCGCGCATGTCCTTGCCCGTGCTTGGGCATGCCTCTGTGTGTGTGTGTGAGAGAGAGAGATTGTGTGAGTTCTGGGTCGGGGGAGGGAGGGTTGCAGAACGCTGGGGAGCCAGCTGCCGTCATAATCCCA